GATTCCTAGCTGTTGGATGACGGCGGGACGACCAAAACAGCGACCTTCTCGAATGACAACCAGCGTTCAGCACCCGAACAGGCTAGATCCACAAGTTTCGTGGCATTTTCTTTGTTCTGGTGACTTTCGGCATCGACCCACACTCAAACGAAGGTCGATTTGAGTTACCCATCACTTTTCGGCATCGGACGACGAGTATTTTTTAACTCCGTTTTGAAGTGTCGGGTTCATTTGACATCAATCCACTCGTAACCCAAGTGGCGTGAGATAGTAGGTAACTACTCACATAACACTAGTTTCAATTCGATTAAAGTGTTTTTGAGTTGGTTTCTGATCCAAGATTGGTTGTTTTTGGATTTAGGAACCCTTTGACGAGCTTAATAGCGTGTTAGGACCTTAGTGTAAGTAGTTCTTACTTGTGGGGATGTTTGTTGTTTGAATATGCTTGGTGTGTTTTATGTGTTTCATTATATCTAGTAATGCTTATTGAATATTGATGCTATATGTTTTTCTTCGGATGTTTGATATTAAGTGCTCTGGATGAACTGTGTTGGCCTCTAATTGTTTAAAATTGGTTTGACTATGCTCTGTTATGAACTCACTGTGAAGCTGTTATTAAAAATTATTAGGTTGAGAGAGGCCCTAGGTACAAAGGTCAGGGGTCCATACGACTCGGGTCTATGAGCTGGAAAAATGTGGGAAAAATTTGTTGATGCCAAGAACGGTCGCTGCTTTGTCATGGACACGGTTCGAGATGTCCTCTGGGGCATGGAGGAGATGGAGCAGGCTTACCAATCTCTTTTTCGTAGGGTGAGGCGCCTGAAGTGGAGGATGCAGCGACAAGCCCCCGCGTGCTGATTTGATGCTGCTCCATTTCCGTACATTTTTCTCTTTTTTTTTGTACCCTTGCATGTTTTGTGGTGGCGGTGTCGCCTTTCATTTTGTAATGGGTTTCGGGGCCCCATAGTCCCTATTTTCAAACTAATGAAATTTTCCTTTTTTCAATTTCGTTTCCCCCTTTCATTTTTTCATTTTTTCGCTTTACTTTTCTCGCACTTCTAGACTATTTCGATGTGAATTGACGATCTTGCCCTCGAGGGGAACCTCCGTCTGACTATAAAAGGAGGGAGGGGAAGAGAGGGGCTTTACCCCTTTCTCACATTCACCCAATTTTTTCGTCCATGATGGAGCTCTTCCCAGGCCATCGTGACCTTAAGGAGTACATCTGTCGTCCTCATCTGATCTGGTCTTATCTTCGCGACTGTAAGTTCCCAGATTCCGAGCATGCGCGCGTTGTGGTCAGCAAACGGGCCCGTCCCGTGGGACGGCGTTTTAAGAGGATTAAGTCTGCTCTTCGCCATTTGGAACTTTGGGTTGTCATCATTGAGAGGAGGTCTGGTTTCCCATAGATCTGGGGCTCCAAAAGCATATGCACCCTATTCTCTTATTTCTTTTAAATATCACTAGGACCGATGCATGTAACTTGTAATGTTGATTAAAGTAAATAAAGCTTAAACTTTCATCATACCCTCTCGCCTTGTAGTTATTTGCGATTTTTCTTCCCTGTTTCTTTTTGTCTTGACTCTCCACGCGCCACCGGGCAGCCCACGCGTGTTCGGGGGTGTCCACGCGTGAGGGTCAGGCGTCAGGGTGTGTCGATGGGGTTTCTTTACGAGCAATAGTTTTAGCGTTCCGTACGTGGCGCGAGGGTACGAACTTGCTTGCACGACACTTCGTCGTTAAGGAATTAACTTGCCCATACAACATTTCCGCTTCCCAAGCCCATGCCTCATTAATGCTTCTATAATTAACACTTGAATGCAACCCATGACCTTCCTTTTCAGGTAGGTGATGGCTGTTGGATGTGTTGCCCTAAACTCATAGTTTCTATTTATCTAAAAACAAATATATATTCACTAAAGTTTTATTCAATCAATTTGTTGTTAAATTCATAGCATTGCATTGTCCAAATTCAATAAACTAAACATCCAAGGTTATTATCAGGTAATCGGGACAGTATATCTATTAGGTATATATATGATATACTGGGTATATATTTGATATACCCTTGATATACTAGGTATATATTTGATATACCCTTGATATACAAGTGGATAATGTCCTGGGAATAACCTAAAAGATCTATAGTATATGAATAAGGCTGGGTACCTTATCCCGGCAACACTATGGATACGGCCCACTTTGTAAATGTTACAGATGCTCGATCCAGGTCGTTTGTGTGGACACATGCGAGTGGGGCTATCTTATACAATGAATTTGTATAAGACCGGACCGCGAAATAGTCAATTTTTAGATGTAACACCGTTAACTAACAGATTGTTATTTCTTAGGATGACAGGCAACTCATACTCAATCTTGAGTGAGTAATGGACTCCTACCCGTGAGGGCTTGTCCTTTGATCTATATAAATGAGAGTGGCCCGAGTCGCCGACTCAATATTCCTACCATTTTGGGGACGAGACTGAGTGGGGAGCGGGAACACAATTTCACAAGATGGAATTTACTTCTCCCCGACTTTATGGAGTATATGAGTGTTCTCTTAAATGCTGACTCTGGACTTGAACAAGGGGCCCCACCCTCTCACTAGCCCGAGAGGGACTTCCGGTTATTGGTCGGACCATAACCAGGTTGTTCATTAGAGGAACAGTGATATTTAAGGAGTAAGATGTAACTCAGGGGTAAAACGGTAATTTGACCCAGCTTGAGTTACGAGCACTCGTGAAGGATTGACTTGTCATTAATGGTCATATATCCATGGAAAACATTCTGCAGTGAGAAGAGTGCAATGCGGGTCTTTAGTGGAGTGACCCGTAGTTAACGAATATTGATTAACTTGGTCAATGAGTTTGACCGATTAATCTCGTATCGTTGGAGCTTCTGATCTGTAGGTTTATTAGGCCCCCTTGTTAGCTCACAACGGGTAAAACGAGGATCAAGTTTTTGGAAAAATTTAAAATGTTCGAGTTGCTCAAGGGATTATATGTATATTGATACATTATAATATATAATTTATTCTAAATTAAAACTATATATTATGAGAGATATTATTTGAATGAAATTCAAATAAAATTAATATGAATAAGATTCATATTAAAACTATAGGTTAAAAATAATGTGCATAAGATGTACATTACGACTATAGGTTATAGGAGAGAAATGCTTTAGAATATGATTATATTTTTATGATAAGTAATTAAGTGTTAATTATTTATTTGATTTATATATATACACACATTTATATATTAATTGATTATTAATTAGATTAATAATTAATTAATATGATTAGTTAATTAATTATATATATATATATTAATTATTAATATTAATTTAATATTAATATTAATGTTAATATTAACATTCCCCTGCTTAATTGTAGGGGAGTGGGGTGGCAGTTATGACGTGGGGAGTTACCCCACGTCATACTTTTGGGTGATGCAGAATAGTTCTGCAAAAACAACCCAGAAGAAACATAACGGTAGTTCTCTTAAACATTTTCTCTAAAAAATCAAATTCTCTCATCTCTTCCTCACGTTCCAAACCGACGCTCCCACAAGCACGATTCTCGTACCCAGAGGATAGTAAGGAAGTTCTATTGGTGGTGTTCGGGTTAATCCATTGAAGAAACATTCTTCAAAGGTAAGGGAAACAATTTCTTTTTCCTTCTATTTCCATTTCACCGTATGAATTTTGTTTCTCAAAATTCAAGAACTCGATCTGTTTTCCGCTGCGGGATTCATGTTGCGCCTCTGCTTAATAGTTAGAGGGTAAGTGCAAGTGCACACTGTCACAAGTAATAATCTGGAAATATTCCAAGTTCGTCTCCACAAGGACTAGTTTTCTTTTAAAATTGATTTTGTAAACTGCTTGAATGAGCAATCGAGTTTGGGAATAAAAATTGGTGGAATTGTTGGGAACACGAATTACACACGAAAATAATAGAATTTAAAAGGCCAACCCCCTACTACTGTTTAGTTCTAAAATGATGAATTACTCTTACCAAATGTGCCCGTAATTACACTCAATTTATGCAAACTGGTTCAACTCCTATTCCATATCGCTTTTGGTTTGTTTAGAAGTTTAGGCTAGTGTTTACATATGTCTATGCAATTCTAGAATCCTAAATAAAGCAAGTTTCAACTTACGTTTAATGGGTAAGAGAGCCTATGTCTAGGATCTTGTTTTAGTTCTTATTTCTAAGTAACTTCCCGTTTTACCTTGATGAGATCCGTTTGACTCTAACCTTTTCAGAATTAAATTCAAACTAATGTGATTTAAACAAGTGGCCAACAAGAAAAATCAACTGGATAAATTGTATCAATCAAGATAAGCAAAGAGAGCGTAATACGCCGTGCTCACTGATAGATGTAATTTATAGTGATAAGAACTAAATCATTCGTAGGAGGGTTGAAGAAACAATTTACCTACTAACGGAATTGAAAGAAATTAAAACACAAGAGAAGATAACAAAAGAAAACATTTTAATTAGAATTGGAAAGAAAGTACCAAATCGAACAAATTGAATTGCAATAAAATAAACCAGAGTAATGGTAGAAAAATATTTGAAAACAAAACTTAAATAAAAACTACAAAACTAAAGTAGAAAGGAAAGCAAAAGCATGGAAAATGAGATGTGTTGAAGTGATGCTTGGAGGCTCCTTTTATAGGCCATGGAAGTAACAAGTATTTGAGAAATTCAAGGGAAGTTGGCAACCACTCTTTCTAGAGATTTTAGGAGAAAAATGAATCTTGGACCAATAATTTGGTCAGAAGTTGTTATTTCCGTTTTGAAAATCTATGCATCGAATGTGGCTGGCGCATTGCGAAGCTGGAACTTTCAAAGCAATTTGACTGGTGCATTCCTCTATTAAGCTGGAAATTCTGGGCATGCGATGTGCCTGACGCATTGTGATCATAAATCTTCACTTTTCCTTACAAAATAAACATATTTACACAAATTAACCTTCATTTACCTATAACTGAATTCCAAAATCCCTAATCACAAATTATGCACATTTTCCCTAAATTATATGCATGAACATACATTTTTCATCCCAAATACTAAGCATGTGAACCTACCCTTTTTAGCCTTAAAACAAGTCTTATCAAGTCACATTCCATCAATGGCTTCATTATAAGATTGGACATTTCCTTCCCTTTATCCCACCTTTGACGATGGGAAAGAAATGGAAGCTTTCTCCTTACGAAGACATACCCTGCGACATTAGGTTCTGAGGTTGCATCGCACTCTTGCGGATATAAGGAGATTTGTCACAGCTAGACGGACCAAGCTAACTTTTTCCATATGGCTAATTATACTGTAACGCCCCCGAATTTTGGGTAACTCACACGGGGAACGTTACTAAACTTATTTGTTTTACACTTTATCCCAAGGCATATAGGCCACTAATAAAACCTAAATATTTTAGCTTTTTATTTGCTACTTCAGCCTGTTATTTGCTCAATTTAAACATGTGAACTCTACACTTAACAAATGAACGAAACAACTTGTCCTTCATGGGCAAATTACACATAACTCCCCTATTTAAGCCCAAACAAAGCTAAATCGAGTAAACGACGATAGACCAACAACCTACTCAACAAAAGCATAACCCTGCAGGATGATAACAAATCAACTAAGCAAATAAATCCACCACGCTACCACTGCGCCACTCTGATAAAAACACCAAAACAAAATAGTTAATCCATTCTTCAACCTTTACAAGTGAACAAATCCCCTAACGTTAAACGTACTCCCTAAGCTTCTCAACAGAACCAAAAGCCCAATCTTTATAAGAGTTGATACTTAAAAGAAAAGTCTTCTACAACATTCTAATAACTCCCTAAACTTTACACAAATCAATGCTCAAACAGATGACATAAACTAAATCGACAAGAACTCGTAACAACCTATTCTAATCAAGTTAAAACTACACGGAAACTAGTTATGGTCATTCTTCCCGAGTCTCCACCGCACCA